AACCCTAATATTATGGTAACTTAACTTAAATCTAAAACCCTAAACCCGTTGGCCATCGAAGCCACGGAAGCTTTGCACCGTGGAGCGGAGCAGCCTCTCCGACTCCTCGAGGCGGCCCAGGGCCGAGAGAGCGACCGCCAAGTTGTCCTGGCTCCGCAAGGTCCTGGGTTTTTCTGCTGTTAAGGAAAATAAATTCTCGAAAGGACTATATAACCAAGGGAAAACCCTATATATAAGATCTTGTAATTTACTATATGTTTTTTATATTCTATCAATCAATCAATGAATCAATGAATCAATCAATCAATCAATCAATCAATCAGTCACTCAATCAATCAATCAATCAATCAATCAATCAATCAATGAATCAATGAATCAATGAATCAATGAATCAATGAATCAATGAATCAATCAATCAATCAATCAATCAAATCAATCAATCAATCAATCAATCAATCAATCAATCAATCAATATATATATATATGTCTCCCTGTTCTGGTAACTTAAATGAGTAAGTTCCTTAGCTGCAACCCCAGGGTCTCGGGGTGCCGGGCTCCTAGGAGCGCCCCCAGGCCCAGTGCTGCCTCGCGGAAGAGTGGCTCCGCCTCGGCAGCACGTCCTCTTAGCTGCCCAGTTACCCTGGCCCAAAAAAGTTTAAACTTTTCTTTTCGTAGGGGTTTACTATACCAAACAAAGTTTAAAGTTTACCTATTGGACTCCTCAGTCCTTCCCGAAAGAGCAAGGAGGCTAGATTGTCTGCACTGAGCAGAGTGTCCATATCCTTGTTCCCGAGTTTCACCCGGCAGCCGGCCAATGCCTCCGCGTACAAGCTTTCAGCTTCCTCCGTTTGTCCAGTGACAGAGAGCAGACTTGCTAGATTGTTGATGCTCGTTAAGGTGTCGGGATCTGTATTCCCCAGGACGGCTCGGCGTCGCTGCAGCGCGCGGCGATACATGCGCTCGGCCTCCACCACTTGACCCTGTACTTTCAGAAGCACCGCCAAGTTGTTCAAGCTGGTGAAGGTGCTGGGATTCTTCTCGTCAGGGTCGTTGCGAAGTCTCGCCTCCAGCGTCTTTTGGTACAGTTTCTGCGCCTCTCTATACCTATCTGGGCCCTGAGCTTTGAGAGCCACCGCCAAATTGTTGGCAGCCCAAAGGGAGTCCGCATCCAATGCAGAAGCCTGGCAGAGCTGAAAGGCGCGCCGAAAGGCCTCCTCAGCTTTGGCACTTTCGCCGATGGCCAAGAAGGCTACGCCCAAATCATCCAGCGCAGCTACCACGGCATCCGGGGTTGCCGAATCTCGCAGCTGCGCAACCACGTCCTTTCGGCGTTTCAGCTCGAAGGGCAAGTTCTCATCCTGGAGACGCCGGGCACGGTTCGCGGCATCGCCAAGGATGGCTCGGCAAGCGCTCGCCCCAACAAAGACTGGGGCAGCGGGAAGAAGTCGCCACCATGCACTTCTTCCCGGCGGTGCTCTCAGGCTTCGAGGTACCGATAGCGCCCGTGGTATGCACGGCAAGGGTGTCACCGCGCTGCGAGCACCCGGCTGCAACATGGCGATGGAGCTGACCAGTGGGGGAGATGACAAGAACAAGATACCGTCAAGTTAATGCAGGCTTACACTATTGTGAGAAAGGCAGCATGCACAGCAAACATTCACTGCTTTTCTGCCTTGTAATTGCGACTCTCCAACTCTTGAAATGATCGTGTTCTTGGTCATCTGGTGATGATCAAACTCTTCATTTTCACAAAACTGACCAGAGATCACTGCAACGAGTCATGCTTGCCCACATCCGCTCTCTACTTGCTCTTGGCAGTTGCAGCTTGTGGATGACTACCCTCTTTCGGCCCATCCTTGACACTCGCTCGCTGACTCGAGTCACAGGCGGCCCAGCATGAACGTGTCAAGCGGATATTCACAAAAGGCCCAAGCGGATCGCACTCATCGTGCATGTAGTAGAACTGCTATATGTAAGCTAAAGGATAGTTGAGGTGCTTCTGACGAAGGCTCTACTGGGGATGGTGGGTTCTGGTGCCGATTAAGAATTGGTTGAGAAGTGTGGCGGAGGTGGAGATCGGGCATTTAGGTGATTTCGGAAAGGTTGCTTGCTTAGGTTGGTTATAAGAAAGCATGGGACGCCCTAAACCCTAAACCCCTAAATACCTAAACCCCTAAACCCAAAAAAACCCTAAACCCCTCAACCCTAAACCCCTAAACCCTAAACCCCTAAACCCTAAACCCCGAAACCAAACTCCTAAA